AGCGAATTATAAACTATATGTTGAGTACCAGTATATTCATAATTGATAAAAAATAAAGGTTTTATGCTAACATGTATAAATGTGACAAAGCTGTCCTATGAGGCATATGCATGGCATACTTGACCATATGTGAACACAGAATACTGCTTATACTTTTGCAACAAACATCTTTCTTCTGTGTTCCCTTACTGTACCATATGATATCTTACTTTTTTATATGTTTATAAAAGAAAACTTTGTGTCCAGGTTCTGTAATCTACCATAAAGACGTGGCAGATTATACTGAAACGAGGTTGCATACTGCACTATAATTATGTGCGTATTGTACTAAAATGAATTAGTAATTATTTTCAGGTTGATCAGGAATGACAACAACCGGTTTTTATAAGGATGCAAAAGGATATAGGCAACTAGATATGCATCAATATTTGTGCGTACGTGATACAGAAGATATTGTTGAATATGCTGTGGATGAGGTGGATGATACTTGCTCACCATATGAGTCTAAGAAAGGTACATAAGTTATTTACGAAATAATGTTCAATAAAACTAGCCACAATATTCATCTAAAAAAATCAATAAGTGTAAAATAATAACGCAACCGATATCTGTGTCCCTGATCAAGATAATAAAATATGAGTAGAATAAACATTCTGGTGAAAAGTTGACTGATATATTTTACATAGGATATAAAGAATGTTTCAAATGTTTCAGAGCTGTCTGCTAATGGGGGTGAACCTCCTGATGATACTCTTGTATTAGAACTTGACTTCAGTCTCCCCACCCCATTCTCAACCCAAACCCAAGAAGGAATGTAGAAAATTCTCAAGGTTGTACTGAGAACATGTTCATGACATACAATTCCCACATATGATGCCAGTGGCAGCAGTGAAAATGAAGAGGGCATCTCTCATCCAGCAAATCTGTTCAAGCGATGGATGACCTCTGATGACCTCTTAGATATTGTTGCTCAGCAGTCCAACTTGTATGCAGTACAACAAAATATAAACATACTATTAGCTTTAGAGAGGTCAGATCTTCAGAAATGCTTTGGATTGTGAATGACTATTTCTGTCTGTAGAATACCTAATACGAGATTGCACTGATCAAGCTTTTCTGTGGGAAATAAAAAAAAAAAATCAGTTCAACCATATGCAATGACAGGTGGGAGGAAGCAAAAGTGAATTAACACCTCACAGATAAATCTCAAACAGATTCTAAAGACAAATTAACTAAGATAAGGTTCTTACTCGGACACCTGAGATCAAAATTCAAAGAAATCCCCATAACAATATTTGTGTGTAGATGTAGATGAATTCAAGGAGAATTCATATATTCCTAAGAAACCACATAAACGTGCATATATGATTTTATGAATTATGTTTAATAAATCGAATATCTTTTAGCACTTGTCTGAAATATATACACACACACACACACACACACACACACACACACACACACACACACACACACACACACACACACACACACACACACACACACACACACACACACACACACACAGTGACATGACCAATCATTTGGCCTTGAAAGGAAAGGGAGGTTACTCTTACTCATCAAATTAGGGACTAAAATTGATATAACCCTGATAACTAATGATTGGTTACATTGGTATGTAAAAGAAAAAACAAAATCAATATAAGATTTGCCGGGGATACTGTAAAGCTTATGTATTTTCTTTTTTTTTCTTTAGTGTATGTTTCGCCCAATATCATTTGTTTTCTGAGTTTAGAATATAAAGGGGTATATATTTCTTCTTCCTTCTTCTTTTATAGGGTTTTAGACTTTTGAGCAGTCTATATCTCCTGTATCCTTTTTGTTTTCTATGCTTTCTTTTATATGATCTCTGTTAATTTGGTTTTTCTTAGGAAGATTTTGGTGTGTCTTAGAGTGTAGTACGTTTCTGTTGGGGACAGAACTGCAACTGTGAATAATAGGTTTATGTTAGGGTTGATTACTTTGATTTTTCTTAAGGCTTCTTTCAATTTAGTTCTGTTGGAGTGAAATCGTTGACAGTGTAGCGCTAAGTGTTCTATATCTTCTTGGTTATGACACCATCTGCCGAGGGGGTCATTTATTATTTTCATTCTATGTAGGTGTTGATTTAGTCTTGTGTGCGTGGTTTTTATTCTGGTTATGCAGACATCTAGTTTTCTATTGTTGGATCCTGACCATGGCTGCGGTTCTGTGTTTTTCAAGAGATAATTCTTTGTGTTAAAAATTGTGTTTAGCTATGTTTTCCAGTTGCTCTGATTTTTTTATCTGTTTTATGTTTTTTTGTGTCTTCATGTATGGTTGTGGGATATCTTATTTTGTGTTTTTTTTTAGCTGCTTGATCGACTATTTCATTGCCCTTTATGTTTTTATGTGAAGGTATCCACTGTAAGATTATTATTTGATTTTGATTTACCATTGTATATATCACTTCTTGTTTCGTAAATTTTATATCTAATTTTTTTTGGTCTCGGCTGCAGTGCAGATTTAGGGTCTGCAAATAGTACCGATTTTGATAATTTGTTGTTTTGTATGTATTTTAACCCTTGTTTTATTGCAAAGAGTTCTGCTTCTATTTTTTCTGTATTGTTTGGTAATTTCCATATTGTTGTTATATTGTTATCTTGTATGTGTATAGCTGCTGATGTGGAATTGTTGTTTATTTTCGAGCCATCTGTGAATATTTTTTTATAATTTAGATATCATGTGTTTTCTAACATTATATACTGTGATCTTATTATTTGTTCTGGGATATTTTTTGTTTGCTCTTCTAAGAATTTTGTGTCTATATTTTTTGTGATATCAAACCAAGGTGGAATACGGGTTACGTTTGACATTGTTTTTATTTTTATATTCACTTGTAATTCTTTGCATGTGTCTATTACTGTGAATTAGGTTATTATTTTTTAAAATCTTTTTGAGGGTTATATTCTTTAATATTTTCTGTTATCATTTTTTTGATTTGTGTATTTTCTTTTTTTCTAGTATTTTTAATATTTGGGTAAATTCTTTTTCTTTTAGTTTATTTTTGATGGACATTTTATTTGTTAGGGCGTAGAGTGCCTTTATTGGAGTGGTCTTTAAACAGCCTGTGGCTATTCTTAAAGCACCATTTTGAACTGCTTAATTTTTTTTGTGTCATTTCCTGTTCCATATATTGCTATACCATATTCTGTTTTTGGTTTTATGTAGATATCATGAAATTTTATCATTGTCTCTCTGTTCGCTCCCCATGTTGTTGATTTTTTTTTTCATTGTGTTTATTCTATTTGTACATTTAATTTTTAAGTTATTGATGTGTTTTTCCACTCTAGTTTTGGGGCGTCAAATTCAAGTCCTAGTATTGTATGTTTATTTGTGAAATTTAGCTCTTCATTATTTATTCTTATTATTGGTATTTGTCTTATTTTTTTCTTGTAAAGCACATAACTTTGCTTTTAGTTAGATTTAATTTAAGCTCCCAGCCCATTTTACTATTTGATTTAATCCTATTTCTAGGTTGATTTTTGCATCTTCTAGGTTTTCATGTATTGTTATCATATTTATGTCATCTGCATATATTATTTTGTTTTTTTTCTGTTAGGTTTAGATCTGTCATCATTATGGAGAATAATAATGGACTTAATGGTGAACCTTGTGGAAGTCCTTTTCTTATTCTTCATTCCTCGGATTTTTGATTTCCTATTATTATTTGGTAGGATCTTTTATTTAAAAAATATATCCATCTGAGAGCAGTACCCGTTATTCCAAGTTTATCTGCTTTTATTATTATTGCATCGTGGTTAACCATGTCAAATGCTTTTTCTAGATCTAGAGATGCTATTAGGGCATATTTTTTTTTCTCTTTATAGGCTTTTTAAATATGAAAATCAATTATTTGTAGCGTATCTATAGTTGAGCTGTTAGGTCTGAATCCTGTTATGTCTTGACTTTGTTTGTTATTGTTTTCAAGCCAGCATATGTCTGTTGTTTATTATGCTTTTCCAGTATTTTTTCCTAAACATGAGATTCTGCTTATGAATCTATATTTTTTTATCTGCTGGATCTTTATCCGGTTTTAATATCGGATTTACTAATGATTTCCTGAATTCTATAGGATATTCTTTTATCCATAACTGATTATACGTTTAATTTTTTCCAGTAGGTTATTTGGGATGTTTTTATAAAATTCATAGGGGATATTGTCTGGGCATAAGCTTTGTTTTTTTTTTTTTATTACTGATATTAATTATTTTAATGTTATCTCCTTATTTAATCCGCTTGTGCTAGGCAATTCTTTTAAATTCTTTAATTCTGATTTTGTTATCAAGCATTTTGTTTTTGTGTTTATTATTCTTTGGAATTCTTCTGTTAGCAGTTCTAATTTCCTTTTAGTTTCTTGTACTGGCTGGTCATTATTTATTAGAGGGTAGTTGTTGATTCTATTATTACCTGAAAGTTTCTTAATAAAATCCCTGAATTTTTGGTTGGTGTTTTAAAATCTAAAGAGAGGCAGAAATTTGACCATTTCTTTTTTCCTTTTCTATTGTATCTCTTGCTATCATTTGATTTTTTTTGTATTCTATTTTTTCGTTAGGATTTTTTCTCCATTTGTTGAATGCTTTGTTTCTTTGCTTTATTACTTCCTTACATTTTTGATTCCACCAAGGTTTTGTTGGTTTATTTTTATTAAAGTCATTGTTTAATCTGAAATGTTTTGTCCCTATTTTTTACTGTTTCTGTTATTTCTTTCAGTGATTTTATCTTACCTACATCTGTTTTTCGTATTCTTTAAATGTTATCCAACCTTCTTCATTAAATTTCCATTTTTTTTCTTTAACAATTGTTTCTATATTGTGACTAGTATCTCTTATTACGACTGGAAGGTAATCACTTCCTCCATATATATTTGCTTCTACTTCTAGGTGGCTTAGTTCCGGGGTGCCCAGAACTAGGTCTATTGTAGATCCTTTACCTGTTTTTGGATCAATTCTATGATTTTTTTTTTGAGTTAGCAATAGCCCTTTACTTCCTAAAATAACAAATTTGTCCACTTTTAAGTAAAGTGTCCTTTTGGGTAAAATATCCTGATTTGGAAGGTGTTTGCTGAAGACGACTTTTGAGTCCGGTTATGTTGATGGTACTGGCAACTCTGCGTCAGCCCTGGTTCTTCCCGAAGCTCAGAAAACTCGGAAACATGACAGGGTGTGGACGCTAAATCGTGCACTGACTGCAACAAAATTTTAAGCCATCATGGATCCTGAACCAGGTAATTTACTGCAGAGGTCTTTTCTTTGTGTAATAGGCGAATTATAAACTATATGTTGAGTACCAGTATATTCATAATTGATAAAAAAAATAAAGGTTTTATGCTAACATGTATAAATGTGACAAAGCTGTCCTATGAGGCATATGCATATGGTATACTTGACCATATGTGAACACAGACTACTGCTTATACTTTTGCAACAAACATCTTTCATCTGTGTTCCCTTACTGTACCATATGATATCTTACTTTTTTATATGTTTATAAAAAGAAAACTTTGTGTCCAGGTTCTGTAATCTACCATAAAGACGTGGCAGATTATACTGAAACAAGGTTGCATACTGCACTATAATTATGTGCGTACTGTACTAAAATGAATTAGTAATTATTTTCAGGTTGATCAGGAATGACAACAACCAGTTTTTATAAGGATGCAAAAGGATATAGGCAACTAGATATGCATCAATATTTGTGCGTACGTGATACAGAAGATATTGTTGAATATGCTGTGGATGAGGTGGATGATACTTGCTCACCATATGAGTCTAAGAAAGGTACATAAGTTATTTACGAAATAATGTTCAATAAAACTAGCCACATATTCATCTAAAAAATCAATAAGTGTAAAATAATAAAGCAACCGATATCTGTGTCCCTGATCAAGATAATAAAATATGAGTAGAATAAACATTCTGGTGAAAAGTTGACTGATATATTTTACATAGACAGGATATAAAGAATGTTTCAAATATTTCAGAGCTGTCTGCTAATGGGGGTGAATTCTATAGGATATTCTTTTATCCATAACTGATTATACGTTTATTTTTTTCCAGTAGGTTATTTGGGATGTTTTTATAAAATTCATAGGGGATATTGTCTGGGCCATAAGCTTTGTTTTTTTGTCTTTTATTACTGATATTAACTCTTTTAATGTTATCTCCTTATTTAATCCGCTTGTGCTAGGCAATTCTTTTAAATTCTTTAATTCTGATTTGTTATCAAGCATTTTGTTTTTGTGTTTATTATTCTTTGGAATTCTTCTGTTAGCAGTTCTAATTTCTTTTTAGTTTCTTGTACTGGCTGGTCATCATTTATTAGAGGGTAGTTGTTGATTCTATTATTACCTGAAAGTTTCTTAATAAAATCCCTGATTTTTTTGTTGGGGTTCTAAAATTTAAAGAGGCAGAAATTTGACCAACTATTTCTTTTATCCTTTTCTATTGTATCTCTTGCTATCATTTGATATTTTTTGTATTCAATTCTGTTTTTTTTTTCGTCATTTATTTTTCTTTAACAATTGTTTCTATATTGTGACTAGTATCTCTTATTACGACTGGAAGGTAATCACTTCCTCCATATATATTTGCTTCTACTTCTAGGTGGCTTAGTTCCGGGGTGCCCAGAACTAGGTCTATTCATCATCATCATCATCATGGGGGCTGACGCCGACGGGGGCGCATAGCCGCACCCACCCTTCGCTTCCACCTACGAGGATCCCTCATGGCTAGACGCCAGGCAGGGACTCGGCCCATCTCTAGTTCTTCACGACAGGTTTGGTCGATCTGCCCAAGCCATGACTTCCTCGGTCGTCCTACAGGTCTCCTCCACCCAGGGTTGTCTCGAACAGAGACGACCTGATGGGCAGGATCATCCTGTGGAAAGCGAGCCAGGTGGCCGTATAGCCTGAGTTGGCGAACACGGATTGTGCAGATAACAGGGCTTGTGCCAGTCTCACGGTGCAACCGTTGGTTGGACACATGGTCCCGCCAACAGTACCCCATGATCTGGCGCAAGGACCTATTGCAAAAGGCTTCGAGACGAGCCTCCAAGGCACAGGATAATGTCCAGGTTTCGCTACTGTATAGCAAAACTGGCATTATCAGGGCCTTGAAAACCCGTAGCTTGGTCCTTCTGCACAGGTACCGACATCTCAAATACTCTTGTTGAGAGAGTTCATGACCCCTGCTGCCAGGCCAATCCGTCTGCTGACTTCATGGTCTGACAGCCCAGAGTTATGAACTACTACCAAGGTATGTAAAGCTCTCTGTGACTTCAATGTCCTCGCCGCAAGCACGTACCGACTGAACAGGTTCTCCTAACAAGTCCCCAAATTCCTGGACCTTGGTCTTGGTCCAGGAGACCTCTAGACCCAGGGGCTTCGCTTCATTGCTAAATGCATCGAGAGCCGCCACTAGGGTTTCCAAAGACTCAGATAGAATGGCAACGTCATCAGCAAAGTCAAGGTCTGTAACCTTGATATTGCCCAGCGTTGCCCCACAATGACTTTGAACAGTAGCTCTGCCCAGTATCCAGTCCATGCAAGTGTTGAAAAGAGTTGGTGCAAGGACACAGCCTTGCCTCACTCCTGAACTAACAGGAAAGAAGCTCGACAGGCCCCCACCACACTTTACAGCACTTTCAGTACCAGTATACAGGCTTGCTATTAGTCCAATAATCCTTGTTGGTATTCCTCTCAGCCTCAGGATCTCCCAAAGTGACTCCCGATGCACCGTATCGAACGCCTTCTTGAGGTCGATGTAGGCTGCAAGCAGCCCACGCCCGAACTAACGACGGCGCTCTACAATGACTCGAAGCGCGAGGATACGGTCTATTGTGGACTTACCAGGAGTGAATCCGGATTGCTCCAGTCTCTGGTGCCTTAGTAGATGGTCTCTGATACGTCTCAGAAGGATGTGGGCGAGAACCTTGCCTGGTACACTGAGCAGTGTGATGCCTCGGTGATTGCTGCAGTCCCAACGGTCCCCCTTCCCCTTCCAGAGAGGGATGACCACACCCCTCAACAGGTCAGGAGGAACGGAACCGGACTGCCAGATGGCAGCCAGGACAGCATGTAACCCCCGTGCCATAGGTTCACCACCAGCCTTTAACAGTTCAGCTGGTATGCCGCAGATACCAGCTGCTTTACCACTCTTCAGCTTGGAAATCGCCCCACTAACTTCAGTTAGGGAGGGAGGGTCCTCACTGATAGGTGGATCCGGCAGCGGGATCTCGACACTACCCGCATCCAAGTTAACTGTTGGTGGGTCAACCTGGTACAGCTGCTCAAAATACTCAGCCCAACGTCCCCGCACCGCAACAGGATCTGAAACGATCTGACCACTTACTGAGCGAACTGCTGTCACCTGTGAAGAGGGCTTGGAGTTCAGCTTTCTCAGGGCTTGGTATGCAGGACGAAGGTCATTAGGTCTATTGTAGATCCTTTACCTGTTTTTGGATCAATTCTATTATTTTTTTTTTGAGTTAGCAATAGCCCTTTACTTCCTAAAAGAACAAATTTGTCCACTTTTAAGTAAAGGGTCCTTTTGGGTAAAATATCCTGATTTGGAAGGTGTTTGCTGAAGACGACTTTTGAGTCCGGTTATGTTGATGGTACTGGCAACTCTGCGTCAGCCCTGGTTCTTCCCGAAGCTCAGAAAACTCGGAAACATGACAGGGTGTGGACGCTAAATCGTGCACTGACTGCAACAAAATTTTAAGCCATCATGGATCCTGAACCAGGTAATTTACTGCAGAGGTCTTTTCTTTGTGTAATAGGCGAATTATAAACTATATGTTGAGTACCAGTATATTCATAATTGATAAAAAAAAAAGGTTTTATGCTAACATGTATAAATGTGACAAAGCTGTCCTATGAGGCATATGCATGGCATACTTGACCATATGTGAACACAGACTACTGCTTATACTTTTGCAACAAATATCTTTCATCTGTGTTCCCTTACTGTACCATATGATATCTTACTTTTTTATGTTTATAAAAGAAAACTTTGTGTCCAGGTTCTGTAATCTACCATAAAGACGTGGCAGATTATACTGAAACAAGGTTGCATACTGCACTATAATTATGTGCGTACTGTACTAAAATGAATTAGTAATTATTTTCAGGTTGATCAGGAATGACAACAACCAGTTTTTTATAAGGATGCAAAAGGATATAGGCAACTAGATATGCATCAATATTTGTGCGTACGTGATAGAGAAGATATTGTTGAATATGCTGTGGATGAGGTGAATGATACTTGCTCACCATATGAGTCTAAGAAAGGTACATAAGTTATTTACGAAATAATGTTCAATAAAACTAGCCACATTATTCTTCAAAAAAAAAAAAAAAAAAAAAAAAAAAATCAAAGTGTAAAATAATAAAACAACCGATATCTGTGTCCCTGATCAAGATGATAAAATAAGTAGAATAAATATTCTGGTGAAAAGTTGACTGATATATTTTACATAGACAAGATGTAAAGAATGTTTTAAATATTTCAGAGCTGTCTGCTAATGGGGGTGAATTTCCTGATGATACACTTGTATTAGAACTTGACTTCAGTCTCCCCACCCCATTCTCAACCCAAATCCAAGAAGGAATGTAGAAAATTCTCAAGGTTGTACTGATAACATATTCATGGCATACAATTCCCACATATGATGCCAGTGACAGAAGTGAAAATGAAGAGGGCATCTCTTATCCAGCAAATCTGTTCAAGAGATGGATGACCTCTGATGACCTCTTAGATATTGATGCTCAGCAGTCCAACTTGTATGCAGTACAACAAAATATAAACAAACTATTAGCTTTAGAGAGGTCAGATCTTCAGAAATGCTTTGGATTGTGAATGACTATTTCTGTCTGTAAAATACCTAATACAAGATTGCACTGATCAAGCTTTTCTGTGGGAAAAAAAACAGTTCAACCATATGCAATGACAGGTGGGAGGAAGTAAAAGTGAATTAACACCTCACAGATAAATCTCAAACAGATTCTAAAGACAAATTAACTAAGATAAGGTTCTTACTCGGACACCTGAGATCAAAATTCAAAGAAATCCCCATAACAATATTTGTGTGTAGATGAGCAAATGGTACTTTTCAAGGAGAATTCATATATTCCTAAGAAACCACATAAACGTGCATATATGATTTTTATTTTGGCAGATGATATGGGAAAGGTGTATGATTTCATGCCATGTGTTGGTAAAATAGAGCCTTTAAATAATACAAATGTTATAGACCTGGAACCAAGTGATATTTCAATGCTCCATCTTATGCAGAACATGTTTTTGTATACCTAAGGCGACAATTTTGTCCTTTTTATGAGAATTGTTTCGTATGAATACAATTTTGAAAACAGTGTGGCTTAAGAACAACTCTACCACACCATTTTCTTACTCTTGTACAAAAAATTCAGGCAAAGGAGAAAGGTCAGGAAGTAAAGGAATAGTAGGTTATTCTGATTTATTAGATTAAATAAGTTTATTCCAGTGATGTTCGTTATTTGTTGGTTTGTTGTTGAATTCCATAAGGGATGTTGGTTATTCTGATTTATTAGCTTAAATAAGTTTATTCCGGTGATGTTCGTTTTTTTGGTTTGTTGTTGAATTCCATAAGGGATGATGGGCATTAAAATCTCCTATTATGAGTTTTGGTCTTTCTATTTGGTCTATATAATGTTCCATTTCTTTTTGGTTTACTTTGTTGCATGGGTTATAAATTAGAAGTAAGTTTAACCATCCTCTTTTATAGCTAATGTTTCAATTTTATTATTTTGTATTTCATTAAGATTTATCTTCCTGTATTGTGTTTTTTATACATATTGTCGGGCCGCCCCCCTTTGTTCTATTCTGTCTTTTCTTATGATTTCATAATCCATTATATTAAATTTATCATTTGTTGTGAGCCATGTTTCGCAAATTGCGAATACCTCTGGATTTTCTGTATGAATTAGATAGTCTATATCTAGGTTTATTAATCTGCATTAGAATTTTGCCTAGTCCAGCATTCAGTGTTTTTTGTTTATTACTGATCTGGCATTCCAAAGGATTGTTTTAGTCATTAAACCATTCAAATATTTGTTTTAATATAGGAGCAGCTTCAGTTATTATTTCGATTATTGTTTCATCTGATTTTAATTTTTCGGTTACTTTGGTTATTAATGCGAAAATTCCTTTGTTATTTCAACCCATGAAGGTGTTTCTTCTTTGTTTTTCTGTTCTTCTTTCTTCTTTTCTTTTATTGTTGGGGTTTTGTGTAGTGGTGTTGGGAGTGACCATGTTATGGGGGATTTTGTGTGTTTCTTGTCTTTTGTGTTTTGTTCCTGTGTGTTTGTTCTTTTGTTTTTCCTTGATTGTTTTTTTGTTTTGATTTCATTGATTGAATTGGTGTTTTCTGATCTGTTTGTGTTATTTTTTTGTTTTGTGGGTGTTTTTTGTGCTGGTGTTATGTTATTTGTTTGTGTTAGTATTTGAGCAAATGTTTGTGTTGTGTTTGGGTATGTTTGTTGTATTGTGTTTGTGTTATCATCTATTTGTTGTTCGTGTTCTGTTTCTGTGTTGTGTATTTCTGCTGTGGTAATTATTATATATATATTTTTGTATTGGTTGATTTAGTTTTTGTGTTGTTGGGTTTAAGTGATTTTTTTTTTCACTTCTAAGCTGTTTGGTGTCGTATTTTTTTGTTTATGTCTTGGGCTCTCTGATGTATCGGGCACGTTTTGTCATATGCTGGGTGGTTTCCTTCACAGAAATAACATTGAGGTGGATTTGTGCATTCTTTGTATTTGTGACCTTGTTGGCTGCATTTGCTACATCTTATTTTGTTTTTACGAGATATCCCATGACCATACATTAGACATTTGAAACATTTGGATATAGGAAATGTATACTGGTATATCTTACAGCTTATATGTCCTATGGTTGTTTTATTTGGTAATGGACCTCTGAATGTTAATTTTAGGGATTTTATTGGTATCCATTTGTTTTCACCTGATATTTTGCTTTGTTTATGCATTCTTGTTATCTCTTTTATGTGTGTGTCTGGTCTCCATAGTATTTTGATTTTTTATTTAATTTCTTCTATTTCTGTATCTAATTCAATTGGGGATATTGTGCCATATGAGCAACCTTGATCTTTGTTTGATGCTGGTTGTTTGCAGTTTACTTCCCAGTTTTCTAGATGTTTTATTTCATTGAGAGGTCTAATTATAGACAGATCAACTACCTCGAATTTGATGGCTCTTCCGTCTCCTATTATTTCTTCTATTTCTGTGTCTAATTCAATTGGGGATATTGTGCCATATGAGCAACCTTGATCTTTGTTTGATGCTGGTTGTTTGCAGTTTACTTCCCAGTTTCCTAGATGTTTTATTTCATTGAGAGGTCCAATTATAGACAGATCAGCTACCTCGAATCTGATGGCTTTTCCGTCTCCTATTATTCTTAGGGAATTTTCGATGATGTATTTTTGAAAACTGATTTGTTAATGGCCTCAGTTATTCTTATAGGGTGGTTCAAGTTTGAGGTAGTTGATTTGTTTGTCATCTGAATTAGTATTACATTTCCTTGTGGGGTACCTTGAGGGGACCGTCTGTCACACCCTTTTATTTGGGCCCCTTCCCATTGCCTGTGGTCGATTTTTTTTCGAAATCGCCCGAACAGTTTTTGAATTATTGTCAAAAAACGAAAAAATGCGAAATACGCCATGTTGAAAATGCAGCACCTGGGTCAAAGGATTCCGACTTCAGAAACGGCAAGACATTCAATTGTACTAGATTTTTGCACAGAACTACCTTATATCTACAACTTGTTCGAGAGCATTTTTTCGATTTCGACTTCAATTTTTTTATGTGAATTTTTGAAGTAGGGGACTTCAAGAAAAAAAAGGTAAACATTTTCTTACATTGACCACTTTTACAAGAAGTACAGGCAAAAAATGCGAAAACGCTCTCGAACAAGTTGCAGATATTTTATTTTTCTACAAAATGAGCCATAGTATGTTAATTTTGGACATATGTTGTGCCCGGAATCCTTTGACCCAACCCTAAAGGTGGAGTTTCGAGATATCGGCATTTTACGTTTCTTCATCTTTCCAAGGCTATCTTGATATCAACAAAAGGCATAAGATAAGTCTTCCTACACCATAATCCTTTATCATCTACCTGCATTCCGAAGTGTTGCGGACATTGCCAGCACGTAACGGTTTCTCAAAATCTTACGTATAGTGCGGAGTGGTGGCAGTGATCTGGGGGTCTATAGGCCTACATTGACCATTTTTAAAAATTTCTCAAAAAAAAAAAAAATACAGCCATTCTGATTTCATGTTTGAATAGAACTATCTTTCTACTATTATATGCAGAAGCCATTTTTGAGAAGTTGACCTTACTTTTTTCTTGGTGAAGAATTTCCGAAGGTGACTATTTTAACACCCTAATAGGAGAATTTGAAAACATATGTCACTTTTACAAGAACCACATGAAAATATTGCAAATCCTCATGGCAGTATGTAATAGAACTATTATTCAGCTACAAAATGAGCCATAATACTTTAAAATCGGACCGAAAATACGTGTGCTATGCGTAAAAATATGACAGACCTAATAATCGCGATCTTATTCCTTTTTATTATGTTTACATTTTACATGACAAATCATGTACAGAATACTTGTATTTGATATAATTATCTATCATTTACCTATTATTGATGCTCTAATGGGGTTTTACAACGTATAATATTTGTCGAAAGAATAACTTTTCTCCAGTCGGCCGGGTACCAAACGCATTCTTTTCCCCGCGCGGCCGGGCCGTCCTGGACCATGAAAATCTTTTTAAATCTGCGGAATAACTCTACGGGGTCACGTAACCAAATTTCACTCTCAGACCCCGTGGAAAGACGAAAAACAATTACATGGCGATGTGAAACTATGTATATAAGGTATATGAGCACATATAGATCATTTTCGTGTACCCCATGACCTTTTGTTTATTTATATTGTTACTTCCGTTTGTTTCTTTGTTTGTTGATTGTTTATTTGTTTTTTTGTATGTTTGTTTTCTAATATTTCGAAAAGTTATGAACACATTTTAACGAGATTTTAACCAAAGGTAAGTTTTAACCTAAATTAGACGCTTATTGCAGTTTGGTGGTGATGTGGACCATGGTTTGGATCCATTTTTTTTCTAACTCGAAAAGTTATGAACAGATTTGAATAAAATTTTAACCTGAGGTTTGTCTTAGCCGGTGGTGATCCGGAATATTTGGTAAAACTACCCCCCATGGGGGGGGGGGAGGTTTGCATTTTCGAAATGTTTTGCTCATAGATCAAAGTAACTATGTATGATGAAAACATAAAGAAAAGAAAATACACCATATGAATAACATATCATGTTTAGTTATTTGTATGGAAATTTTTTTCATTGTTTTTTGGACGCTTGCCGGATTTTTGAAATTATTCCGAAAAAAGAAGGTTGGTCTCATCTTATGTGAAATTTGATCAGCTTTCAGAAAATAACCTCATATTTTTATTCTCTAATCATTGCGTCACAATTGCCGATTTTCTAAGGTAACATAAAAAAATAATATTTCAGTCGACATCGAAAATCGCTGCTACCACCTAAAAAATAACGGTCGGGGCTTGAAATTTTCAGGGGAGAACCGGGGGCCAAGAAACTCCTTGAAAATGCATTAAAGTCAATTTCGGCAAGAGGGGCGAAAATCGCCGAAAAATCACCAGAAGGTCCCCTTGAGTTACTGTTCCGTAGGTATGGTTCTCCGTGGTCTGTTTGCCGTTTTCTTCGTTTCGTGCTTGTTTGGAGTATGGGTAATCTTCGCTATCGCTGTCTCGTCTTCTGCCATTTTTCTGGTGTTCGTTTCCAGGTTCAATACCTGGATTTAGATCAAAGCTTTCGTTCATAAGCTTTCACTTCACTTTCAGTACTTTGTAAAGATTGATCACTCTTTCACGTTGATGTTCACTTTTCAAAGTCTCGATCGGTTCCCGGGTATATTTTTGATGAAATTGAGATCTAACTCCAACAATGTGAAAAATTAAACTGCATTACTCGTTTATAATAACAAGAAAAAAATATACCAAGTAAAAAGAAAGAAAGAAAGAAAGAAAACAGCGTCCAAAAACTCGAGAAAAGCTATAACAAAGTTTACAGAAAAGATAAACATATATCATATGGGACAGTGCGAACATGGGACCAGAAATACGCCTTATGAAAAAAATATAATAGACATAATCAGAATTACGCCGGGTCTAAAGATAAATAAGAGATTTATATATGTAGTGTACAAAAATAACCCTTATAAAACGCACCTATTAGTATACCGATGTCACTGTCAATTATCTCAAACAGGACGAGACAAACCCTTCATTGCAGTCATTGATTGTCGAAGTTATTGGTGTCCTGGCAGTGGGAACCATCCAGGGTCGTGAAATATCGCCCGATAATTTGCGTAGGTTTAGAAATCACACATGCCTTTCATTTATCACTATACTGGTGTTGTTACTAAATTGCTGATATTCTTCTTATTGTTAGAAGTCGTATTGTTATAATCATTGCCATTGTTACTATTATCATTATTAATGCTATTATAATTATTATTATCATTATTATTGTTTTTGTTGTTATTATTATCATCCTCATCCTCATCATTGTTATTACTATTATCACTGTTATTACAATTATCATTGTTATTACTATTATCATTATCATAATCATCATCATGATCATTATATTTTTTATGATTATTGTTATTGTTATTATCATTTTATCATTATTATCGTTATCGTTATTATCATTACTGTTATCATCATTATTATCAGTGTTATCAGTGTTATCATCATCATCATTCGTCTAATTCTTATTGTTATTATTATCATTATTATCATTACTGAAATTATTATTAATATCATTATCATTGTCATTATTATTACAACAATAATGATTACTATTATTATTACCATCATTCTTCTTATTCTTATCATCATTATCAATATTGATGTTATCATCAATATCATTATTATCATCATCATTAACATTATTGTCACTATTGCTGTTATTATTATCATTATTATTATCATCGTTATGATGATTATTATTACTACTACTATAATTTTATTGTTGTTTTTATCATCGATGTTATTATTACTATTATTATTATCATTTTATTATCATTTAGATTTCTATTATCCTCCATAGCAAAAGGAAGGTAAGTTAAGTGGGGGGCAAAGAAGGTTCCCCCCGGAAATAGCCGGGGTCCTGGGGGGCTGCAGGCCTCCTAGGGGACCAGGTGCAGTGCCTCGGTGGGGGAACAGGGGGCAAGGAAGCTCCTGGATTTTAACAGTTTTTAAGAGAACTCATTAATTTCTGCACTAAGATGTCAGACATTAAAAAATATATATATTTGACATAATGGTTATGTAATTTTAAACCCCAGACTCAGCAGTATCATCATCATCATCATTATCTGTGTGTGTGTACATATACATGAAATAATATATTTTAGATTTATGCAGTTGATTTGCAAAAAATGATAATGCTGATAATAAAACCTCATCAAAGCTAAACCTGAGTTCCAGAGATAACACATCATTAATTTTCTTTCATCTAATCAACATCAGTTATAGTTACTTTTCATTGTCACTGTTATATTGTCACATTGGGTTTCTCATAAAGTTATCGTCAACTGCCCCTGTTCTCTTGGTATGATACATATCTCTTTTATTATTCCAAATATTGGATCAGCTTCAATGAGCTTTCTGAGCAGGGTTCCATATTTTGGTTTTAAGATGAAAGGGGTCCTTATGGTTTCAAAATTTATATTCCAGGCTCCTATTAAGTGTTCATGGATATTACATAATTCATGGAAGAATTATTATTATGACTGCATTAAATTCTTAAATAAGGTCATGGGATATGGTTTAAAGAAAAAAAAAAGAGTTAAATATGAGATTTTATTTGTACTTGCATACAATACCTTTAACATTTCGAATGAAGGTAATTTTTTTTTCAACCGGTTTCAGAGTGCAAGCATTGCTAGCAACTCTAAACAAGTTTCCATTTTTTATTTATGTATCTGTTTTGTAATATTTGATCCATTGAATTCTGAAAATATCAGCACAGAGAAGAGCCTAGCCACTTAGTCAAATTCAAGAACATTAACTGTTAAAGAAAAATTAAGGTATCACACTAACAATGTGCTAAATACACTGATCATATCATTACCATCATTATAACCAGTTCCATTAATATCCTGTAGGAAAAGATACTGATTGATTTCATGTGTAAAGTAAGTACTGATATCCAAAATTTACTTCTTTGCCGTTTATGACATCCACTTTATAGTCTTGCTACGGTGAAAATTGATCCACTTCATAGAGGCTTATTAGGGTGAAAATTGATCCACTTCATAGAGCCGTAGGGTGAAAATTGATCCACTTCATAGAGTCTTGTTAGGGTGAAGAATGATGGACTCCTTAGAGCCTTAGGGTGAAAATTGATCCACTTCATAGAGCCTCCACTTCATAGAGCCTTGTTAGGGTGAAGAATGATGGACTCCTTAGAGCCTTAGGGTGAAAATTGATCCACTTCATAGAGCCTTGTTAGGGTGAAGAATGATGGACTCCTTAGAGCCTTAGGGTGAAAATTGATCCACTTCATAGAGCCTTGTTAGGGTGAAGAATGATGGACTCCTTAGAGCCTTAGGGTGAAAATTGATCCACTTCATAGAGCCTTGTTAGGTGAAAATTGTTAGAGCCTTAGGGTGAAAATTGATCCACTTCATAGAGCCTTGTTAGGGTGAAGAATGATGGACTCCTTAGAGCCTTAGGGTGAAAATTGCTTATGAAAATTGATCCACTTCCTTAGGGTGAAAATTGATCCACTTCATAGAGCCTTGTTAGGGTGAAGAATGATGGACTCCTTAGAGCCTTAGGGTGAAAATTGATCCACTTAGAGTTAGGGTGAAAATTGATCCACTTCATAGAAGGGTGAAGAATGATGGACTCCTTAGAGCCTTAGGGTGAAAATTGATCCACTTCATAGAGCCTTGTTAGGTGAAGAATGGACTCCTTAGAGCCTTAGGGTGAAATTGATCCACTTCATAGAGCCTTGTTAGGTGAAGAATGATGGACTCCTTAGAGCCTTAGGGTGAAAATTGATCCACTTCATAGAGCCTTGTTAGGGTGAAGAATGATGGACTCCTTAGAGCCTTAGGGTGAAAATTGATCCACTTCATAGAGCCAGGGTGAAAATTGATCCACTTCATAGAGTCTTGTTAGGGTTGATGACTCCTTAGAGCCTTAGGGTGAAAATTGATCCACTTCATAGTTTTGTTAGAGTGAAAGTTGATTCACTTCATTGTCTTCTTAGGGTGAAAATTGATCCACTTCATAGGGCCTTCTTAGGGTGAAGAATGGTAGACACCCTAGAGCCTTGTTAGGATGGAAAATTGATCCGTTTAGGGGCTTGTTAGGGTGAAAATTGATCCACTTCACAGAGCCTTGTTATGGAGAAAATTGATCCACTTCGTAGAGTTCTGTTTGGGTTAGTATTGATCCACTTAACAGAGCTTGGTTAGAATGAAAATTAATCCACTTCACAGACTTCGTAGAGACTAATTAGGTAGGAAGGTTATGAACTTCATAGAACCTCATCATGGTAGAAAATGATCCACTTCACGGAGCCTGGATAGTGTAGATATCGATACACTAAATAGAGCCATTTTAGGGTGAAAACTGACAGATTTGAATTCTGATTTGTTCACACATCAATGAACCATTTCGTGATCGTTGATTCACTTCTTCGTCTTGTCACGTTATATATATTTTTAAAAATGCTGTCCATTTCATAGGACAATGTGATGCTGAAAGTTGGCTTTCTTTAGCATTGGATATTAATATGTAAAAATTATGATCTTTTAATTCCATTGGTGTCAGTATTACCAATTTTCTTAAGTCGACAGAGAGGTTACTCACATTTATCACATGAATATACATCCTCAAGCAGGACTTGGATTTTATCTGCCCGGGTGAATATTTTTTCTTCTTGCTTACATGTTCTGACAGGGAAGAAAACTACATAGCTGCCCTTTCACCGCATTCTTATCATTTCTTAATAGACGAAGGAATGTAAGCGATGGTGATACTGTGTCCATGACGAAGCATTGACACTGATGGGAGTGTAGCAACCCTGTGCTCATGTATCTCTTTGACATAACCATGCAGTTTAACGATGCAAAATCTAATTTTGATTATTATTGGCAATACATGTTCCGACTTGATTACCTCTGCTCCGACATGGAATTACTTTTTTTTCTTTTCTTCTTTGGCCGCATTTTCATAATCAATCCATCTTCACATTTTCAGAAGCATCAACATTTACTGCGCGGAGGTCACGAGTGCGCGTTCATTGCAGGTGAATTCCTCACCCGAGGATACTGTTCGTACCGTCACATCTCTGGAAAGAAAAACATTTCGGTTAGATAAAAGGGCTTTACAGCTTCGATGTAACAGAGAGAGAGAGAGAGAGAGAGAGAGAGAGAGAGAGAGAGAGAGAGAGAGAGAGAGAGAGAGAGAGAGAGAGAGAGAGAGAGAGAGAGAGAGACAGACAGACAGACAGACAGACAGACAGACAGAAAGTAAGAAAGATTAAATCTCTCATCTTCAAATGCAAGCAAACAACAGCAAGATGGTCTAATCTTGAATGATAAGAAACGTGCATCCCTGAGCAGCCGATACTACTTATTGGGCAGTAACTGTCTCAAGCGCTTTCTGGCGCAGTTTACCCGGAATTTTTTCCCTGCATGACCTGCCTGAAATATAGTTCTCTCACACTTACTCCCCAAAAGCCAAGTAATAATCAGACAGCGAGGATAAATGTGTTAATTACAGAACTAAATGCTGGCTAATGACATCATTAGGTAAGTGCCTTTTTACT